AAGATGTAGGGAAGAGGATCAGGATGGAGTCAGGGGTGCTTTCAACAGGACTGAGTTCAAGGCAAGTGGCAAGAACTGCTGATTTTAATACAGCAGCACTGTGCTGATGTCCAGTTTGGGATGCAGCCAGTCGGCACAATCAATGCTTCCAGTTTGCCCAGCACTACATGTGGAATTACTCCACTTTGTGGGTGAAAACTCCCCCCATTCCCTGCTCTGCAATGTTTAGGGGTACAAAGGAGTGTGAGGTGGGTTGAACTGTGGGAAGAAGGACCAAGCAGCGAGGAGGTGATGTGAGACTATTTCTGGCATGTTCAGTGGTGTAACAGGTTGTAAGGTAGTATTGGGTGTGGGAAGGGTGGTGAGCTGTGTACAGAGGGGCCACACGGTGGGAACCGGGGTGTGTGAAGGGTTGTAAGGTGGTGCTCAGGGGCTGGAGGTAGGGCAGTGACTAAGACAGAGGCAAGCAGCATGCAAAAGCTGCACAGAGCATCAGCAGGGCTGTGGGGCAATGCACCATATCGGGACCAAAAGTCTACCCAAGAGAAACAGCCCAGCCCAGCCCCCGAACTCCCCTCCAGACCACAGACCAACCTGGTGAGAGACCCTGGGACTGCAGAGAAAGGGGAGCACAGCCTTGCAGAAACACAAGGTTTGGCACAACAAGCAGCATGCAAAAGCTGCACAGAGCATCAGCAGGGCTGTGGGGCAATGCACCATATCGGGACCAAAAGTCTACCCAAGAGAAACAGCCCAGCCCAGCCCCCGAACTCCCCTCCAGACCACAGACCAACCTGGTGAGAGACCCTGGGACTGCAGAGAAAGGGGAGCACAGCCTTGCAGAAACACAAGGTTTGGCACAATGAGGCAGATGCCTCTTCTTAAGATGTGACTGTGAGGAATACGCTTCCGTTTCAGTGTCTGTGTCATATGGGACCTGAGATTGGTAGCATCATGCTGAAACTGGATTGAAAGGAGCTGGGATTTTCTGTGCTAGCTTCTCCCGCAGCCTGGAGGGCTCTGGGACTGCTGCCTGGCTCTGGCTGTCACAGTGGTTATGATACGCTTATTTCTCTCTCTATCTCTTCCCAGCACTGCCAAAGGGAGGTACCTGGCTGCTCTTCTGGTGGTTGCTGATGCTGAGCTTCATTGCAGGGTCAGGGAAGGGGGCAATTGGTAGCATCAGTGCCTCATGGCACCCTCTCAACCGTGCCCTCACCCTGCCCAAGCCTCCCAGGCTGAGGATGGAGCTGAGAGGGAGTGACACAGAGTCAATGTGCAGCCCCACTGAAGCAGCCCTTGGTGGTCCCACCGGGGCCACCTGGAGACCATTAGTCCCAGCCGGTGACTTCAGCCTGAGAAGAGCAGCTTGTTCCCAGCTAGTGTATCCTCGACAGGTTCATCCATCATCTCCCAAGCTCTGCCAGCTTATTAACAGATGTTGTCCTGTCCCCAGAGGACGGAGAGGGAGGGAAACAAATGGACTGAACTACAGATGGCTGGCAGAGCGCTCCCCATGCTCACTGTTTCTGAGACAAGCCTGCTGCGATGCACGGGAGAGTGGGGCTCTGAGCTCCCAAAAACAGGCAAGATGCGCTGAGCAGGGTGGGGGGATCAGTGGTACTGACCCCACCAGGCTGGGGTGATAACTGGGGACCCACTTGCGTGGCAGAGAGCTGCAGATGTGCTCTGCCAAGCAGAGGTTTCGTGCTGGGTTTCGTAGGCTCTGGTTGTGACACTGGGACCAGTGTGGATGTGCAAGTCTTGAGCTGGGCTGCAGGCGAAGGTCACTGCTGTCCCATGTGCACTGCAAAACCACACTGTGAGAGGAAACTGGAAGGGCAGGCAGCCAGCCTTGGCTGGGTTGTACAGGAAGAGGGCACTGGGGCAGAAGGAAGGTACTAGCAGGAGCATCTTCCAGAAGCAGGACTTCTGGTGGTCCACAAAGAGGCAGGGCCCGAGATCCTCAGGCACAGAGTAAGGGTGTAAATTGCATAAAATAATTAAAACTAAGAAATCCCCACCTTCTGAAGGGCTCCCGGGAGGGCAGGTGGGATTAGTTGGGTGCAGTGACATCCGTTCTGTAGTGGCTTCAGGTTTTGGTGGCTTCAGTACATGCTACAACCACAACTGTGGAGCGCTGAGGATTTTAGACCTGGTGCATTTGATTGTATTTTTCTTGCTGGCCACTTCTCTGTTGGCTTGCTCTTACCAGAGCTAACCTGGGAGGTCCTGGTCTTCCACATGTCACTGGCCTGGCATGAGAGAACTCAATCCAGAGAAGGACACGCCTGTCATCCTGTACTGTAGGGAGTTCATATCTTGTGCAGGTTCCAAGCTGATGCCCTCTTCTGTGCCTGTGTAGGGCTTTGCACATGTGTCCTGCTCCCATCTAAAGCAAGCAGTGAGGCACACAGAGGTGCATGACCCCATCTAAAGCAGTGCCTACCCGAGCCCCAGTTGCTCTCCGGGTCTCCCTGTGTTCTCATGCTGTCCAGGCTCCCAACGGCTCTGCCCTGGTGCACAAATTCACCTGTAATTTGTCATTTAGGATAATTTTCCCCTGGAGTGCATCTAAAATAATTGTGAATCATTGCTACGGGTAATTAACAGGGTTTATTTTTACAGCATTGAATGCTAAGTGATTACAACTGCTTGGTACAAATCTGCTTTGCAACTGTTTGGTACAAATCTGCTGCACTTCATGTTCCCATCCTTCCCCCATCTCTCCACACCTGATGTAGCACGGATTTCTCTGCCCTTAATTAACTATTGGTGGGGAGGAACCACTCCAGTGCCTCTTTAATCAAGAGTGCCTGGTTGCTGGTTGCTGTATGGGTAGAGATGACAATGGTTTGCAGGACCAGGGGGGATTCACACAAGTTGAAGACAACAAATCCTGACACGTACACTGGTCAGCATGGACAGTGGGGCTGTGTCATCGCAGGGGCATTTGGTACAGGCAGGGAGTCCCTGGCCCTCTTAGTGTGTGGCATCAGGAGAACGGGTCAGCACTAGAGTGTGGCAAATGTCCTAGGCTTTCCTTGGTGCAGTGGCTGGGAACAGCAAACCTCCTCTCCCGGGTCTGCCTCCTCTGTCTCCTCTGCTGGATGGATGGTCTAGAGGAGCTGAAACATGTCAGGAAGGATCGGGAGCAAGTCCAGCCCTGAGCTGCAGCAGTTTCTCCCAAGTCACATCTACCTTCCCTTGCATCCCCAGTTTGGGCATTTCTGCTCCTTGCCCTTATGCCCTTTAGGAAATGGAGAAGCAGGAATTTAGGAGCAAACTCTGCAGGCTTTGCTTTTCCAGCCTGCTGTACCAAGACATGATACCAACCTGTGACACCAACATCTCTGGGACACCCAGCGTCCGTACAACCTGGTGGTGGTCTTGCTCCCGTGTCTATAAGGTAGCATTCAGTGCAAAGTGCCACAGAAGATGGTGACAGTGAAGAGAGACCAGCAAGGCACCAGGGACGCATGTGGCTGAAGCCCTGCCTTCAGCTGCCATAGCTGGAAGTAGCTCAGTTATAGAGTCTATTACTGTGCAGCATGTGATCTGTGAAATATGCTGGTAGCACAGGGAGATCTGTGGCAGGGAAAGGAGTGTTGTTAATAAGAAAACAAATCAGCACCTAGAAGCAGAACAAACAGATAGCACGGAGGGACCCAGACCACCAAGGATGCTGGATCACAAACAAAACCCTTCTACATGTTTGGAAGCAAAAATTGAGGCTGAAAGCAGAGCTGGCCACTGGGGCTAAAGGTATTACCACCTCGGTAGGGAAAAACTGAAATGAGTCAGAGCCAGGAATAGTGCTTGAGTCACTGGAACTGGTCCTAGAAATACTTGATGAATACAGGGCCCAGGCAGAGCCTGGTTTTTCCTTACTTGGAATCAAAATCTGCAGAAGAGGGCAGATCCACGCCTAGGCAGACACTCGACATGCCACATGTCACTATGGAACTAATCGATTTTCCTAACGAGAGACGAGCTGTTTGTTTGTGTGACAAATGATTCAACCGGGGGGGTGCTGGGAGAGCTGGGGGTAGGATGGAGCAGACTGATGCCATCGTGCGTGTGGGATGAGCGCGTGCTCCTCCTGCCTTACAGCCCCAGCCCCAGCAGGAGGCAGAGCCACCGGAGGCGGGATGTGTTGTCAGCCTGGATCGCTTGGCTTTGCTGTCCCTCAGCAGAGAGGAGGCAGGCAGTGTGCGCTGAGAGCTTGCTGCAAAGTGGAACAAAAGAGGGTGTTTTCCCTTTGTTTTGTGCAATGAAGATATTTGCCCAGAGAAGCTGTGGCTGCCCCATCCCTGGCAGTGTTCAAGGCCAGGTTGGACATAGGGGCTTGGAGCAACCTGCTCTAGTGGAAGGTGTCCCTGACCGTGTTAGGGGATTGGAACTAGATGAGCTTTAAGGTCCCTTCCAACCCAAACCAGTCTGTGGTTCTATGATTCTGTGAAGGAAATTGTTGCTCTGTACAGGGTCAGAGGACATGCACCACCATGTCCCAGGAGTGGAGCTTTTAGTTCTTGAAACCCCCAACATGGGTGCTGTTGGCACACCCAGAAGGAGCAGTGAGGCAGCTCCTGTGGAAGAGCTCTGTGCCCCACAGATCACGGTATTTACAGTAGTTAACGAGGTGATTTCCAGTGCTGCCTTGTTTGTTCTTTTTGCAGCGCTCCCTGCCCCGAGGCCAGGCGGTGGCCCTGATGTGCAGCAGGGAAGGTCCTGGGCAGCAGGCAGGAGGAGAGCACCTCCGCTTTGCATACAGGTCAAGAAAAGCAAAGGCACCCAGGTCTGCTTGTGAAACAGTGGGGAACTGGTACGAGGATGGCAGTAACACAGCCTGGGACTGACAAAGGGAGTTTTCACAGGGCTGGTTTCCCCTGCATTGGGAGGGGGGTGAGAGCCGGCTCCAGCTTCACGCAGGTGGGATCTGCTGAGCTGTGGGTGCTCCCCATGCAGGCGCATCCCCCTGACCCTCCCCTCCTCCGCAGCCTGCCAGCTGGGGTTTTACAAGTCGGCCCCTGGGGACCAGCTCTGTGCCAAGTGCCCCTTGCACAGCCACTCGGAGAGCCGGGCTGCCCGCGTGTGCCGCTGTGACAGCAGCTTCTACCGGGCCCTGCAGGACCCCCCCTCGGCCGCCTGCACACGTGAGTACCGCGGCTGCACAGGAACCACCTGCAGATGATGCACCCTGTGCGTGCTGCACACTTCAACACTGGGTATCCCCTCGACACGCGAGCTGAGAGCCCCTTTGCTGCGCTCCCTCACTGCCCTGTGTCTCATCCTCATCCTGCTGCTCTCCAAACATCCCTGCTCCCCTCCCAGGGTCTCTCCTGCGATGGAGCAGGGTGAGACCGTGGCTCTGCCAGCAAGCTCGCCTGCTCACACACCAGCCGGCGTGCCAGCCGCTTGGTGGCTGCTCTCCTTTGCAGAAATGGTGAGGGTGATCAGACCCAAAGGGCACCACAAGTGTTGCTGTGCTCTCCTGGACAGTGGCACTAAGGCATGTCATATGGTTGCAGCTCTGGTCTCTGCAATAGGCTGCTTTAAGGGGTCCAGTGCTATTAAAAGGGGACAAGAACATCCCAGAAGGAGTCCTCCTCTCTGTAGCTGGTCCAGGAGGGAAGAAGGGTGGATGGCTACTAGCTGAAGCCAGGGTGAAAGACATATCAGCAACATCTGACTTATGTTTCCCTGGGGAATATCTGCCCAAGATTGTTAAACTCCCCACTAAATGTCAGTTTACCCTTCCCTTTAGATGAGCAGATCCTGTTCTCCACTGTTCAGCTCATCCACACCTTGGCTCATCCCCAGAAAACTTCATGCATCCCCATTGCTTCCTGCTTCCTCCAGAACAAACAGCTCTATCCTGCCTGGCATTTGGCATCCTGATCCAGAGCATCTTACCCCCATGGCATTGCAATCTGTGACCTGTCTGTTGAGCGTTCCCCACTCTGGGCAGCATTCCCCTGTAGCATCATTTGTACGTGCAGGTACAAATGTCAGCACCTTTGCAATGTGATGATGACAACAGGGGCATGCCCAAGGTGCATCTCTCCATTGGTCCCATGCTTCTGCAGCCCCCACTCTGCCTGAACCTCCGCTTCTTTCCCAGGCCCCCCCTCTGCTCCCGTGAACCTGATCTCCAGCGTCAATGGCACCTCGGTGACA